CCCCAAAACCCCAAAACCCCAAAACCCCAAAACCCCAACTCCCAACCAAAAGATTGGACCTATATAAAATATTTTGAAAATGAACAGAGTGAAGAAGTAGGCAGATTTTGGAGGGTTCTTAAGGGATTTTGAGGGATTTTGGGAAATTTTGGGGTAATGGAGATGTAGGAAGTTACAGTGCAGTGATGGGATGAGTAGTTGGAAGTATAAGAGGAGGTAGGTTGACAGTGATTTGGGATAGTTATACACCAGCAGAGAGGAAAGGGTATGGGTCGAAAATGTTAGCAGATTTTCAGAAATATTATGATGAGTGAGTGTTTGGGGTTGAAGAATGATAGGCAGGTGAAGAGGAAGTGAAATAAGTTCAAACTTGGCAATTTTCATGAGAGTTTTTATATGAAATTTTAAAAATAAGAAAAGTAAATTTTTGTTTTGATAGGTTGATTTAATGCATAGTATCTAAGAGAAGATATACAGAAGTAGCAAAGAAAAGAACTCAAGTTAGAAAGTCAAATTTAACCATTACATATACCACTGAAGGCACACCTCAAGACCTATTTTTCAAATAAACGTAGCAAAAGTGTGCAAAAACTAAACACCACGCTCCAAAAGCTCAAAAAGCCTCATAAAATCCCCAATCTCAAGCCTCTAAACTACCCCTCCATCAACCCTAAAACTCAAGTAAACTCCATATCTGAGCTCTGTAGCTTCTCAGACAGCCCCTGTTCTCCAAAATCACAGCCCAGCCGGCTTCAAGCACAGTCTCTGCTCCTCTGCAGTATTGCCAAGTAAGTTTCCCTTCTTTAGAACTTGAGGGCCGAAATTTATTTGAAGAAAACTAGTGGCGTGCAGGAAAACAAGAGTTTAGAGTAATAGATTTAGAGACAGGCCAAGAGGTCTTGGATGTGCTTTGGAGAGGATAAGTTAGTCACTTTTGAGAGCTCTTCTTTACCTTCTAAGTTAGAAAAGGCTTAAGAAAATTTTATCCACATCCATTTATCACTATACTTCTCCAAGCAGTCCACCCTATCTCTTTGTTCACTCAAATCTCTTTGTAGTCTTAGTTCCCTAGAACTACACTGACGTGTCTTCTTAGCGTTGTTTAATAATTTCCCAAATTTGTTATTAGAAGCAGGAAATTATAGAGGAAATTAACTAAATTTAGGCTGCAAGGACAGGTCGAGGTTTTTGAGATGGGACTGGTAACAACACAAGTGCCAGGTATGTCCACCTTAAGATCCCCAGTGATAGCCCTGGGCTAACTATTCCACTTCGAAATTACACTAGATCTCAAACATGATTAGCTCTCGTTGTCTTCTAACACATTAATCACGAACAGCCATGGCTTAATATAAATGAGATTATCCGTTATGAGGTTAAAATAGGCAAGAGATTTCAAAAAGAAATGACAGCATGAAGCAAGCGAGAAAGACTCAAATGGGATTTTATAAACCGAATATGCCTGAGAAAGTGTATGATAATGGTACAGAGGCTTGAGAGAATTTTATAGAAAGTTTACAAAAGTTTGAACGGTTTATGGAATCTCAGAAGAGCAAAAGAGAAAAGATAAATTCAAGTAAGATTTAATTTTATTCGTCTTAAAACTGTAAAGTGAATAATATTCCATCCAAACCCCCAGTTCCTATCCTCCTTGAAACTATCATTGATCAAATTCACGACCGTATAAAGCCTTTGATCTTGTTCAACTGTTCAGCCAGGAACAGAGGACTTAGCCAAGATGGAGATGGAAAGATGACTCCTTCTTTTAATGATCAGTAATATAAGGGAGATTTCATAAGAATCTCATACTTGTCCACAGTGAACAAATGCTGCAAATTTGAGGTTCTAAGTATTCAACCCTCATCATAGAGATAGGGGTTTTGGGGTTTTGGGGTTTTGGGG